GTGATTTTCCAAAATCGCATTCTGACTATCGCAACGCGATAATACATAATCGCAACGCGATTCTGACTATGGCAACGCGATAATACATAATCGCAACGCGATTCTGACTATGGCAACGCGATAATACATAATCGCAACGCGATTCTGACTATCGCAACGCGATTATACAAAATCGCAATGCGATTTTCAAAGCGCCATTAGTATCGCAACGCGTATTTTATGTTCAAATTCCAAACAAGAATATTAATACATCCCGTAATCGTAACTCTTAACCTAAAACCATAAATTACAACTCAAACCCATCTCCATTTCACTCTCTACGGCGACATCCGTCCCCATCTCCGACGAAATCCGTCCCCATCTCCGGCGAAATCCGTCTATCTCCATCTCTCAAAGCCACCCTCACAATCATTCACGATCAGAAATGGAAAATCATCCAAATAAACCACCGATGGTTAGTTTTTTTAATTATTTTTATTTTGAAAATTTTGCATTATTATTAAGTTTTTCATATTGAAATTGATGATAAGTTTACTGGTAATTTCAATAATAGATTAACCATTTCACTTAGATTGCTTATTAAATTCATTCGATTGCTGCCAATACTGCTAAATTGTTTAGTCTTTAACCCTGTCAAGTTAGTATTTATCTTTGTTTTGTCTTTTGGTTGAAGTAATGCAATTCATTCAAGTTTCAATTTTAGACAATGACTATTTGAAACAGAGGATCACAACGCGAAATGAAAATCGCAACGATAGTTTAATTCGCGTTGCGATAGTTATGTTCGTGTTGCGATTTTCATTTCGAGTTGCGATAGTCATTTTCGTGTTGCGATTTTCATTTTCGTGTTGCGATTTTAAGTTTCAGAAACTATTATTCTTCTGCAAATTGAAACTTGAATGAATTGCATTACTTCAACCAAAAAACAAAGACAAATACGAAATTCACAGTGTTGCAAATTTAAGTTTGAAGAATAAACTACTACTACTCTTTATGTTTATTATTGTTTTTGGTATATCTTCACAGTGTAGTTTTTAATCAAACTTGGTATGTTTATTGTTTTTGTAGAACTTTTTTTCGGCTCAATTGACCTTAAGGAATAAAATAAGCCTAGTCACTACAATTGCGTCAAAGCTTTCACCTGTACAAAGAAAATTGTTTGAGGATACTTTCTTCGGGCCATGGCTGAAAGTACAACATCCGGGTGGAGATGCTATGTTGACCCATTTGTGGCTTCAGACCATGACTAGTGATCTACCCGAGAGTATAAAACGTGGTAATGAAGAGATATGGTTTTATTTTCCACCGACGTATACGTGATTTGGGTGGGAGGAGTTTTGCTTAATCACTGGTCTACGCTTCGGACACGATGATGTAGGTCGATACACTAGTCATATTACCCGCTCATCATGGTTATCCCAGGTTTTTCCTGAGCTGTCAATGGAGAAGCTGAATTTACACGTCGACGACTTGACGAGATTATTGAATAAGAAAGATGATTTTACTCGGATGGATGACGTCGATGTTATCCGAGTATGCATTTTAGTACTTTTGCATGCCGGTTTTTTAGGCAGAGAGGCCAGACAACCTATTCCTAAGGACCTAATATTATTGGTAGAGGACCTAAATGCATGGAACCTGTTTCCGTGGGGTTCGTATCTATGGAAAGCTACCTGAAATAAGTTGTCGTCTGCCTTTGATGACCGCAAAAATTTGTGTGGCGATGGTTCCAAATACACTTTGTTAGGCTTTATTTGGGCCTTTAAGGTAAGAATTTCTATATAATGTTTCCAAAATTATAATTAATTATTTAACAATTACTAATGTTTGTGTATTATATTGTTTTTGTAGATTTGGATATTTGAGGCTTTTCCCGACATACAGACATATGCATTAAAAACTTCAAATGATATTCCTAGAGCTATTTCCTGGAAGAGGAAATGACGGCTGTTGATTTGGGAAGAGTTACTACGGTATACGATAATAAATGATGTAAGTTAACACAAATACTACCATATATAAACAAGTTATTACTAGTACACGTTTAACTTTGTTTGAGCTTTTATATTGTTAGGAGGCCAACACTCCATTACAGAGGCTGACACCCACGGAGGCTGAGCTTGCCACCGATTGGTGGCAAGCTAGTAAGCTTTTTTTTATGGCACGGATGATGAGCAGCCTCCACTTCGAGAGCCATCACCTCATCCAGAGCCATCACCTGATCGACCACACTATATACCTCTACAACGAGAGCCATCACCTATTTCGTCACATCATCGAGCCTCTTCTCCACCATCACCTCATGATAGGCGACCGACAAAGATGCCACGACATTTATCTCTCTGTTCTCCACCTCCACGGGATGAGTTAGGGGAGTTACGTGATGAGGTCAATGTCTTGCGTGAGGAGGTCGGTACTTTATGCGATGCCAATGGTGCATGGCGTGACGAGGTATCTACTTTACGTGGTGAGGTAGCGGCTCTACGTGAGATGGTAGCATCGTTGCAGAATGAAGTTCATACTCTACACAATGAGGTAAGTTTAAGATTTTTCATATTTAACTTGATTTACTCGTAATTTCACTTAGATTAACCATTTCACTTAGATTACTTAGTAAATTCATTCGGTTGCTGCCAATACTGCTAAACAGTTCTAAAATAACCCTGTGAAGTTAGTATTTGTCTTTGTTTTATCTTTTGGTTGAAGTAATGCAATCCATTCAAGTTTCAATTAGCAGAAGAAGAATAGTCGCAACACAAAACTTAAAAATCGCAACGTGAAAATGACTATCGCAACGCGAATTTGACTATCGCAATGGGATAATCGCAATGTGAAAATGACTATCGCAACGCGAATTTAGTTTCGCGTTGCGATTTTGGTTTTGCGTTGCGATTTTCTCGTTGCGATTTTTATTTCGCATTGCGATTATCCCGTTGCGATAGTCATTTCCGCGTTGCGATAGTCATTTCTGCGTTGCGATAGTCATTTTCGCGTTGCGATTTAAGTTTCAGAAACTATTCTTCTTCTGTAAATTGAAACTTGAATGGATTGTATTACTTCAACCAAAAGACAAAGACAAATACTAACTTCACAGTGTTGAAAATTTAAGTTTCAAGAATAAACTACTACTCTTTATGTTGTCCTTGAACATGCACTAAACCTATATGTTGTCCTTTTAAATATTTATAAGTGCTTACTTTCGGAATGTTATCTGATGCATTTTGTGAACTATGATAGAATAATGACTTGGGTGAATACCGTGCAAGTTTGAAACATATTTGTCTTTGTTTTCACTGTTTAATATCATGTCTGTTTATTTACTGATTTATGTATTAATTTATTTTTAGCGGCCCAATAAGGTGGATGCTTTACGTCGGGTTTTTCTTGTATGACGGGGTTCACGTATCAGACGGCGTGCACGTGCCATTACGTCTCCGTTCACCCCAATAGTGCAAAGACTCCGTAAGAAGAAGCCCGACTCACCTGTCATCGTTCAAGAGGCCTCTCCTATCATTCAAGAGGCCCCTATCATCCCTCAAGAGTCCCCTCCCACCGTTTAAGAGGCCCCTATCATCGTTGAAGAGGTCCCTCCCACTATTCAAGAGCTCGATTAATATGGCGTAATATGTCAAATTATTGAGAAACCCCCTCACGTGCCGGACATGATGGATGACTGTTGGCTTTCGTATGAGTTACCGGCCAGTACCATTCCGGCAGATGAAGTGGAGAGGAGACAACTACCGGAAACAATTATGGATAATACCCTTTGGGCTAAGACCGCAGTTGATTTTTATCTACATGAGCAGAGCCAAGGGTGTTACGCTGACATATACAAACTCAACGATGATATGCATTTGTTGATTGATCGGTCTTGGTGGGGTGTGTTATTAGGGGTTGAAGACAAAGGCTATTTCGATGGGGGGTAAGTCTTATATTTCTTCTTATATTTCATTTTGATTAATTTTTTTTAAATCTATGTAATTCACTAATATATGTCTTTTTTTGTAAAACAGCATATTGATGCATGGGTGTCACGTCTTATAATAGTAAGGAAATTGAAGAAAAATAAAAAAGTACGTGATATACAATTATGCCGACGTCTTTTCACGTAGTTCACTTGAAGAATCAACGACAGGAATCATATGTGTTGGCTAATGGACAAGTTAAAATTTATCCTGCATGGTGGGAGGTCGATAAGGTTAATATTTATTTTTTTAAATATTTTAAAGGTGTTCATAAATAAGTGCGCAATTTGAATTATTACTTATGATTGCAGGTGTTTATCCCTGTTTTGGAATATACTCATTGGCTTCTCGTCGAGCTTCAGCTCCCATCCCTGAAGACAATAATATATGACAACATGATAAATTACATATCATTGTCTGATTTGAGAGATATTATTAAGGGATGGAGCTCTCATTTGGCTAAATTCTTGGATGCGATTAATTATTGGACTTATTCTGGAAACTATAAGCCAAAGAAGTTCAATGTTACAGTTATCAGAGACGAGACTGCGCCATAACAAACGCAGGAAGCCAGAGGGGATTGTAGTCCTCTCGTATGCATGTGCTTTGAGCGTTTGATGAGAGGAAGTACACAGTTTCTACCTCCCACCGATAGAGATAGAGGTGTAGTAGGCTTGTGGTTTCGGCATTTTATGGCTAGAGCGATATATGCGAGACGTTGCCTACCTGCATCCGCGTTATGAAAGTGTCCATAAATAATTTGTAAGTCAAATGCAAGTGTTGTTAAGTACCTAGAATTCAATAATAATTTGCTGTTTGTTGGTTTTAGATGTGTAGAAAGTGTTGTTTGAGCAAATATTTAGTTTCTGCAGGTTAATCCTAAAGTGAGCTGCGTGAAATTGATGTATGGGTGCATAAACAACTGTCTATGGTACACTTTTTTTTATTGTTTAATTGATTCTTAAAAGTCTGATTTGTTTAATTGATGAGGAAAATAAGAATTATTAGCATTTTTTGCTTGTTTAATTGATTTGTAAAAGTTGATTTGTTTAATATTGATGTGTAAATAATTCTTATTTGTGCTTGTTTAATTGATTTGTAAAAGTTGATTTGTTTAATTGATGTGTAAATAATTCTTATTTGTGCTTATTGATTGAAATGTAAAAGTTGATTTGTTGATTTCAATCTGCATCATATTGAAGGCAAAAGACTTGTTGAAGGTACACTTTCGCAACGCTAAACTCAAAATCGCAATGCGAAAGCCAAAATCGCAACGAGAAAGTCAATTCGAGTTACGATAGTCTAATACGCTTTGCGATTTTCCCGTTGCGATAATCAAATTCACGTTGCGATAGTCAAATTCGCGTTACGATGGTCAAATTCGGGTTGCAATAGTCAAATTCGCGTTGCGATAGTCATATTCGCGTTGCGATAGTCAAATTCGCGTTGCGATTTTTGAGTTGCTATAATCAAATTCGTGTTGCGATAGTCAAATTCGCGTTGCGATAGTCAAATTCGCGTTGCGATATTCAAATGAATGTGTAATAAGTGATAACAACTGAACAGATCATAGCAATGTTCAAACTCAAGTTACTAATACATGCCTAACTGAAAATGTTAAAAGTTTACACATAAAATACACATAATAGTCAAATTCGCGTTGCGATATTCAAATGAATGTGTAATAAGTGATAACAACTGAACAGATCATAGCAATGTTCAAACTCAAGTTACTAATACATGCCTAACTAAAAATGTTAAAAGTTTACACATAAAATACACATAATACAATGTTTGCATTTAAAAATCACCTAAGTTAATAGTCCCAAAAGGTGAAGCCGGTTGTGATTGGGATTTTGATTTTGATTGCGATTTTGATTGCCTTTTTCTTGACACCATATGAGCTTTAGATTTTGATGAGGATCCATATTTTGGTAGAGGAAAAGATGATTGTGATGGCACTTGTGATCCACATGTCAACCTTGTATGACCACTTTCCTTGCACCGACTACATGTCGATCTGTTCTTCTCTTCACCCTTAGAAGGTATACGATCGTGACTTTTTGGTCGGCCAGGTAGCCTTCTGTCCATGGCTGGTGGCAAAACTGTTTGTAAGTCATCTGGTATGTCCCACTCAGAAGGATGTGGAATAGGGTAGATAATCTCGGCATAAGTCTGTCGATATACTTCTATAGTGTAGCAATCCATAGCGTATGCGCTTGAATCATCTTGGTTTAGATGAAGAGCAACTTTTATAACATGGCCACTCGAATAACCATATGTTTGCCATTTCATACAACTACACGTCTTTGCATTTAGATCGACAAGCCCATTTAAGTTATTATCCAGTACTTCAAACAAAGTGTTTGAACATGGTTCAACTCTCCATGACGTTGACTTCACAACACATTTCGTTATCTTTTTTTTCAGTCCATGGTGTAACACGATGTTCCAATGTTCCTATAAATTTAAATAAATAATACTCAGTAAAATATATGATAAGTTACGAATTTAAAGAAATAATACCTGCATGGTTTCTTTTCTTGTAGTACCACTGTTGAATAGAGGCTCGAAAAAACTCCATTAACATAGTAATGGGTAATTTCCGGGAATAACAACATAGAGCGTTGATTGATTCTACACTATTAGACGTCATGAAACCATATCTTGCTCCAAGTTGATGTACTCTTGACCATCTTTCAAACCCGACATCTTCTAGTGTTTGAGCACACTGAGGCAAAACACGTCTTAAACAATTTATATGCTTATTAAAATCCACTTCCCGATAAGCTTTTACAGCCTTCCAGTATGTCCATTTGTGATTTTTTATACCAGCATACCTTGATTTTAGATTTCTATACAAATGAACACCACAAAGTCCATGAAAAGCATCTGGGAAACACCTTCTAACAGTGTTGTCAATTGAGTTTGCCCTATCGGATATGATTGTCAGATTGCTAATAGGACCTATGCAATCTCTAAGATACCCTATAAACTATGTTCATAAATCAGAGGTTTCAAATTTGCCAACCCCATAAGCTATTGGCAGTATCCCATTATTAGCATCCATGGCTACTGCTAATAGGTTTACTCCAAGGTATCGACCTTTTAAATGTGCTCCGTCAACTATAATAATTGGGCGCATACAAGTAATAAACAAACGAATCTACAAAATCATATACACAAGAAATATAATCATTTAAATGTGAAATGCATGTAACTAACAAAAATGAGTCAACAAAATTATATTGATTTACTAACCGCAGCACCAATGGCGATAAACAACAACTCAAAGCATCCATCTCTATATGTTTTGATATGAGTTACCGACCCAGGATTTTCCAGCTTTAAATTGTGACAATAAGCCGGCAATTGGGCAAACGATGCTTCTGGAGACCCCTTCAACAATTCCAAGGCATAACATTTGGCTCTCCAAGCTTGAGAATATGAGATACTAATCTTGAACCGAGCATTCATGTCAGTCATAATTTCATGTCCCCGATATACCCTGCCATTCAAAAACATTAACTCAGCCAGAAAACCACCCAACACCTTTTTGTTTGTCTGTATATGGTGAGGAAAAACTTGGGTTCTTGAACATGTATGTTTATCAATAAAAGTACTAACTTGAAACATTTCACAATCTTTTATCCTCTTTGCAATCTACGCCACGTACAGTTTTTGTCAATCATACACCTTGTTTCGAAACGATCTTTGCTTGATTTGTTAACTTTTAGTTGATAGCCATCTTCCACACATTTCGTATACAAAACTATCTTCAAGTCTTCCTTTGTATCAAAACAATCATTTTTCTTGATACGAATAATTTTTGTGTAACAATCAACTGCTATTTTTACCAACTCTTCTTCCGGTATCTGAAGTAATTCTGGCATATTCCAGTTATACTCCCGTGGCATTTTCTTCGGGGATTTTTTCTTTTTCTTCTTCTTCTTCAGGGTTATATAAATTACAAAATGGAGGTTCAACATGTTCATTCACAGTCGTAACTTCCTCCTCATTATCATCAATAACATCTTCCTCGGCATCGGCTGTTTCATCATCAAAATTCGGGTATTGACCAATATCAAAATAATTACACGCAGGGTCTGTTTCTTCTTCTGAAACATCATCAAAATCCGAGTATTGACCAAGATCAAAGTCCGGGTATTGACCAAGATCAAATTTCGAATACCGACTAGTACTCACAAGTTTTTCTGTTGGCTCATCATCGTTTAACTGGTTAATACGAAAATCGAAATTTGGTGCTGAAAGTTGATTGAGATTTGGATTAGGGAAAGTTTGTGGGTTTTGAGATTGTGTTTGGTATTGGAAATGTGGTGAAACAAAATTTGCTTGGTGATGAAATTGTGGTGAAACCATTAAATTTTAAGCACCATAAACTGGGGTTGAAAAACTTAGTTGATTACTACCTGCTACTGACCCAACTTCACTACTTCTAGGTTCAACAACATACAATGTAACATCATCTTGCGAAACACTAATGTAAGCAATGAATCGTTCAACATCTTCATTGTCGGTTAACAAATAAACTTTACCTTTTCTCTGATAAGATAGCCTAAATCCACTTAAGGGCTCTAAATTCAATTTATTTGCAACACGTAACATTAGAGTTTCATAAGTTAACTTTTTAATGACAGTTTTAGTTGAAGATTCATGGGTAAAAGCATATATTGTAAAACACCATGAACATTCTCCCATGACTCTCCAAAATACAAATCTATCCAAACATGATCAACATTAGATGATTTCATTATTGTAAATTAATTTGCTAAACAAACGAGCTGCGAAACTAAAATCTGTTGCCGGATGGGGAAAGATATCGTTAGATATTGGAACGGATGTCGCCGGAGAGAGTGATAGATGGAGATGAAATGAGTTGCGATTTAGAGATTTAGATTATGAGTTGCTGCTGCTGCGTAGTTATATACCCAAAACATTTGTATTGTGAAACTAAAACCTGTTGCGAATTTGAAATTCAGCATTGCGACAGTCAGAATCGCGTTGCGATAGTCAGAATCGAGTTGCGATTATGTATTATCGCGTTGCGATAGTCAAAATCGCGTTGTGAATCTGGAAACTGATTTGCGATACTGGAGATTGCGTTGCACTTTAGAGATCGCATTTCGATTTTGTTGGTCATTTTAACAAATCAAAAAAAAGTTGATCAAAACCGTATATTATAAAAAAATTTCGATCACTGAAATTATTTTCTCATAAATAAAATAGTAGTAAGCTTCAAAATTGGGTAAGTTTCCATTCTGGCGTTCTCTTCCAACAGACACGCCAATGACTGAACCGACAGAACAAATCAAAACAATTCAAAAGCGTTGATTTCTCTCTTTTTTTTTTTTACATAGAACAGTTATTGATGTTTTTTTTAACCTTTGAAGATGGACATAGCAAACGCATTATATTGTAATTTAGCTTTGGTTAGCAATTGGCAACACTAATTGGATCCAGAAGTTAACAATATCTATTGAATTCATTAGTATTTTGACAGTTGCTACAATTTTCACTTGCTTGGAACCCTAATTGGCAACACAAACAGATAGAAGAAGCATATTCAGGAAGCCGGAAATTCTTGTTGTGTGACAGTGGTTTTGAATCGGCCGAGTTAGCAGTCGAAATCCCAGTTGTTGAGTTGTTCTTCTTTCCAAATGAGCGAGTCCCGATTGATAGCTCCAAATTTAAGTCTTGCCCATTACGTGGAAACTTGTCCTTGCACTGCTGCAGTTGTTCTTCATCTGTGGTCATTCCACTGCTGCTGGAATCGCCTTCTTCCAGGGATTCCGCCTTGGCCTTGATCTGGAACTCGTTGGATTTGAAATCCAGAGATGAGTTTGCAATCGAAACCCTGGGCACGCTTCTGAAATCCAACTGGGTGGGTGTAATCGTATTGGTAGCCGTGGGTTGATGATCGAGTGGGCGGTGGGTTTGGGGATCGATTCCTCTACTTAAAAGCTTCCTCTTGATGTGGGTGTTCCAGTAGTTCTTGATCTCGTTATCTGTTCTTCCCGGTAATCTTGCCGCTATTAAAGACCACCTGCCATTAAAAAAAAGATTCAATCTGTATCAGAAATGAAAAAAAGACGCTTCAAACAAGAAAAGAAAAGAAAAGAAAAGGGAATCACTTGTTCCCAAGTAAACTGTGGAGTTTGATGATAAGTTCATCCTCTTGTTGGGTGAAATTCCCCCTCTTAAGATCAGGCCTCAAGTAGTTTATCCATCTTAATCTGCAACTCTTGCCACACCTAAGCAACCCTGCATACATATAAACCAAATAAGTAAAAACAAGAGATTAAAGAAGCGAAGGGAAAGTGGGAGCACGAGGCACCCACCGGCAGCTTTGGGAAGGGAACGCCAGCAGCCTTCACCGTGGAGACGGATGTAGTCAATGAGGCGCTGGTCTTCCTCTTTGGTCCAGGCTCCTTTATTGGTATGTGCCTTCTCGCAGCAGGGCGACCGTCCCATTCTAATTCTCAAACCCAGCACAGGACCTTTGGGATATGATGGCTAAGTTGTTCTGTTTTGGAGTTTGTACCAATAATGATCTGAAGAAAGGAGGTGAGAAGAGACGATTTATTATAGTGGGCGCTGCCGCTGGGCTGTCAGAGTCAATCCACTCTATGTTCAGCTGTTATAGCAACTGGTAATATCTTCAAAATATTTATATTTCTCTATATTATGTAATCCAATCAAAATAAAGTGGACAGATTTCACGGGTTGGACTGGTTGGTACCTGCTTCATTCATTCATTTATTTTTAATGTGATATTCAATAATAGGGCGATAAATAATGGTTTATATATTAGGATGGGAGTTTTAATTATAAGCTTTTTAGTTTAGGATGGATTTGAATAAGTTGGTCTGGAGGGGAAGATAAGGATGGATTTGGTAGGTGCCTCTACTTTTTGCGTCAGTTTCATTTTTTTAATGCTCGTCTTTTGTTTTCAGTAGAGGGAAAATCAGTTTGATTTAGTGAGATTGTCTAAGTGGTTCATAATAACACATTTCCATTTTTAAATTGATTTTGTGGTTTCATGATATTATTTAGTAAATTGTCAGAGTTTTATAACATGTCTATGTAACTTGTTTAATTCATTTTTATATTACAAAGAAATTAAATCAAACTAATAATCTAATTTGAATAATTAATATTTTCAACTTATATATTAAACCATTTTAGCTTTATGACATCAAAGCGTTCGATTGGACCTAAAATCAAACTCAATGTTTGAAAACAAAGGATTAAAGCCCAAACCACAAATCCAAAATAATGATTAGATGGGCCGAACCCGTCACACCGCTTTCCAAGACTAAGTCCAAGCTCAACCGCGAATACATAGGTCATCTCGTGTTATATATATATTTAGTGTTTCCACTTCGAGAGCGGCACGCCTGCTTGCTGTGCCCGCGAAAATCCATTAAAAATGGAAGGAGGAGGCGGGGGAGCCATCTTCAAAGACATAAGACGTTATTTCTGCGAATACTGTGGAGTATGCAGATCTAAGAAGACTCTCATCACCTCCCACATCCTCGCTCATCATCCGGTACTTTCTTTTATTCTGCAACGTTTTCCCATTTCCCCCGGACTCTGCCGATGGGTTCTGTTTTTCCCATATTCAAATTAAAATGTGTCAATACTAAAGCTTTCTTTTGTTTCGAACTTTGGGTTTTGTTCAGGACAAGTTAAACAACGAGGGAAAGGAAGAAGAGGGAGTTTCACCGTCGAATACATGTAAAGACGGGGCTTCTTTCAAGAAGCCTGCTCATTTGAAGCAACACTTGCAAAACCATTCCCTTGAGGTGCCTTTTTTTAAACTTGTAACTAGCTTCATACTGAAAGATCCTTTTTAGTTCATGTTGTTTGTAATTTAGTATAACTTGTCTTGCCAATATATGTTTGGTATAAATAAGCTCATTTGTTTAAGTTTATTCATATATTTGGGGAATCGTACTCTCGAACCAATGTTTGAATATATGTAGGGTATGGGTGTTGAACGTGAAAAGTCAGAAAAATGGGCAGGCATGCATAGGTTTTCAACAATTGGGCATCGAATTCGATGTCCCAATTTTTAATTAAAATGTTTTTAGGTTAATTACATTTTAGTCACTACACATTTTAGGGTATTTACAAGATTAATCTCTAAGTTTCAATTATAAATACTTTAACACATTTAACTTAAAAATCATCCAAAATTATTTTTCTTTCTCCCAATACTAGAGAGTTTTCTTGTGAGTAGTGAGTGTTTTATAAACAACTGTAATTTTTCTTTTTTAGTAAAAGATCTGCAGTAGTCCGGATACGTAAACACAATTGACTGAATTCCGTTATCAATTTTTCAGGTATTATTTTTCTGCTTTTATTTCGCATTCTCACTAATATGGTTATAGAGAAATTACTTGTTACTCGTTTATTTCCCAACAATTGGTATCAGAGTTTTTAGTTGTGAATTTTATCAATTTTTGTGAGGTTACTATTCATCACTATTCACGTGCATAGTAAACTTCGTGAATAGTAAAAAATTTATTGGCGATACGAATTTATCGCCGGAAATGTTCTAATACACGGTGGTTCGCAAGAATTGTCAGAAACGATCCAAACGAAGTTAGATTCGAGTGGGAGCGATGGCTGCAGACGAAGGGAATGTGAAAATTGAAAAGTTTAATGGTGCGGACTTTGACTTTTGGAAGATGCAGATTGAAAATTTTCTACACTAGAAAAATCTATATCAACCTTTTCTCAAGAAAATAACTAAAGGGCATGAAGAATGAAGACTGAGCTTTTCTCGACAGACAAGCCTTAGGAGTAATCCGACTGACGTTATCCCGTAATGTTGCTTTCAACATAGCAAAAGAAAAGACCACAGCGGGTCTTATTGCGGCTCTTTCCAGTATATACGAGAAGTCATCGACCTCAAACAAATATCATTTGATGAGGCGATTATTCAATTTGCGGATAGCGGAAGCGGCATCGGTGGCACAACACCTAAATGAACTCAACACAATCACAACCCAGTTGAGTTCCGTGGAAATTGAATTCGATGATGAAGTTCGAGCTTTAATTCTCTTATCATCTCTACCAGATAGTTGGAATGTTACTGTTACAGCAATCAGCAGCTCGTCGGGAAATAACAAATTGAAATTCGACGATGTTCGAGATCTGGTATTAAGTGAAGAAATTCGACGAAGAGAATCGGGTGAAGCATCAACCTCCTCAGCCTTGCACATGGAGTCTAGAGGGAGAATTTCAAAAATGAATTCAAATCGTGGCAGATCCAAATCCAGAAGAGAAAAATCAAGAACGAAAAAGAAAGATTATACCTGTTGGCAAGAAGGGTAACTTTAAAAGAGATTGTCGAGTACCGAAGAAAGATACAGGCGCACAGGAATCTGCCAACATGACAGAGGAGACAGGTTATGACATGATTCTAAGCGTTAACAGTCCGATTGAATTATGGATCTTGAATTCAGAAGCATCTTTCCACTCCACCCATGCCGAGAAATCATGGAGAATTATGTAAGTGGTGATTTTGGGAAGATTCATCTAGCTGATGATGAAATCTTAAAGATCGTCGGAAAAGGAGACATCCGACTAAAGCTGCCAAACCAGACCACATGGAAGCTGACAGGAGTGAGACATATTCATAGTCTCAAAAGGAATTTGATTTCTGTAGGACAGCTTGATGGAGAAGGATATAGTACAACTTTTTTAGGTTGTGAATGAAATATTACCAAAGGAGCACTCGTCATTGCTCGTGGTAAGAAGACTGATACTCTATATGTAACCTCAAACTTAGAGAATATCATTGCTGCAGCAGATGCTGATGGAAAATCAAATCTATGATACCAAAGGTTTGGTCATATGAGCAAGAAAGGGATGAAGACACTTTTGTCAAAATAGAAGTTGCCGGATCTAAAGAATGTAGATGTCGAACTATGCGAGGATTGCATCTTTGGCAAACAAAAGAAAGTCATCTTTGCAAAGATTGGTAAGACACCCAAGGCTGAAATGTTAGAGTTGGTTCATACTGATTTATGGGGACCATTTCCAGTTCCATCTCTTGAAGGCTCATTATATTATGTCACCTCCATCGATGATTCTACAAGAAAGGTGAGTTTATTTTCTGAAGAATAAATCAGAAGTCTTTGATACCTGCAGAAAATAGAAGTCCATGTTGGAAAATGAGACTGGTCTGAAAGTCAAGCGGTTGAGGTTTGACAATGAAGGAGAGTACATAAATAGGAGATTCAGAGATTTCTGCGCAAATAATGGGATCAAGATGGAGACAACAGTTCCCATGACACCGCAGCAGAGTGGCGTAGCAGAGCGCATAAACAGAACTCTGAATGAACGTGCAAGAAGCATGAGGATACATGCCGGATTACCCAAATTTCTATGGGCTGAAGCTATCAACACTGCAGCTTACCTGATCAACCGTGAGCCCTCAGTTCCTTTGGATGGCAGAATACCAGAGGAAGTTTGGAGCAAGAAAGAAATAAACCTTTCATACTTAAGAATGGTTGTATTTCTTATGTACACATAGACTCTGCTGAAAGAAGTAAACTTGATGCAAAGTCTAACAAATATGCTCTGCTGAAAGAAGTAAATTTGATGCTAAGTCCAACAAATGTGCTTTTGTTGGTTATGGCGGTGATGAGTTCGACTACCGGTTTTGGGACTATGAAAATCGAAAGATTATAGAAGCAGAGATGTCATTTTCAATGAGAATGTGATGTTCAAAGACATGTCAACTGTAGAATCAAGCAGCTCCAATACCAAAGCTGAAACAAATGAATATCTGAGTTCGAAGAGATTTCTGGAAATGATGTTCAGATCAGTCCTGAAGTAGTTCAAGAAGAACCAGACACACCGGAACTAAGACGCTCCTCCAGAATTTCTAAACCAACCCAGCGTTATTCACCTTTTTTGCACTACTTGTTGTTGACTCACAATGGTGAATCAGAGTGCTATGATGAAGCAATGCAGTTGGAGGATTCAGTCAAGTGGGAGTCTTCCATGAAAGATGAGATGGACTCGCTTATGTAAAATCCGACGTGGGAGTTAGCTGAATTACCACCAGACAAGAAAGCGCTCCATAACAAGTGGATCTACAGGATCAAAGAAGAGCACGATGGGAGCAAACACTACAAAGAAAGATTGGTTGTCAAAAGTTTTCAGCAAAAAGAAGATATTGACTACAATGAAATTTTCTTTCCAGTTGTAAAACTGTATACAATCAGACTGGTGTTGAAAATTGTAACTGCAGAAAATTTACATCTTGAGCAGTTAGATGTAAAGACAACTTTCCTTCATGGTGATTTGGAGGAAGAAATCTATATGAGGCAGCCAGAAGGCTTCATAGAGACAGGAAATAAAAACCTGGTATGCAGGTTGAAGAAGAGCTTGTATGGTTTAAAACAAACTCCTAGACAGTGGTACAAGAAGTTCGATAGCTTCATGAGTAGTAGCAGTGGTTTTACCAGATGCTAAACAAATCATTGTTGCTACATTAAGAGGTTCGACAACAGTTTCATTATTTTATTGTTGTATGTTGATGACATGCTCGTTGCAGGCTCAGACATGCAAGAGATTATAAACTTGAAGCAAAAATTGTCGAAGCAGTTTGCTATGAAAGATCTGGACGTTGCAAAGCAGATTCTTGGGATGAAGATCAAGAGAGACACAAAGTCGGGGACTTTGATGTTATCACAAACTGAGTACATCAATAAAGTACTCTCAAGGTTCAACATGCAAGATGTTAAACCAGTAAGTACACCTTTAGGTGTTCATTTTAGACTCTCCAAAGAACAATTACCAAAGACGGAGGAAGAACGTGCACGCATGGTGAAGGTACCGTATGCCTCAACAATTGGAAGTCTGATATATGCCATGGTTTGTATCAGACCAAATATTGCTCATGCAGTGGGAGCTGTTAGCAGGTACATAAATAATACAGGCAATGTACATTGGGAAGCTGTCAAATGGATCCTCAGATATCTGCGAGATACTACAAACAAAACATTTTGTTTCAAAGGTGAAGATACGATACTGACAAGCTATGTAGATGTTGACTTAGCTGGAAATGTTGACATAAAATAGAGCACTACAGGTTATGTCTATATTCTAGGAGGTACTGCAGTAAGTTGGGTTTCTCAACTACAGAAGATAGTTGCTCTCTCTACAACTGAAGCAGAATATGTCGCTGTTACGGAAGCCAGCAAGGAGATAGTTTGACTCTAAAGTTTCTTGGAAGAGTTAGGCAAGAAATAAGAAAATAATGTCTTGTATTGCGACAGTCAAAGTGCTATCCATCTAGCAAAGAATCCGTCTTTTCATTCCAGGACGAAGCACATACAATTGCGTTATTATTTTATCCGGCCTCTTCTGAAAGATGAGATTTTGAAACTTGAAAATATTAGTGGAGTTCAAAATCCGACAGACATGTTGACAAAGACAGTGACTACGAAAAAACTGAAGTTGTGTTCAGCTTCAGTTGGCATGCTAAAGTAACAAGACTAGAAAAGCTGCTGCATTGATCGAGGTGTGAAGAAAGATTAAAATCAGTCTTCAAGTGGGAGATTGTTGAACGTGAAAAGTCAGAAAAAGGGGGCAGGCATGTATGGGTTTTCAATAATTGGGGGCACCGTTCGGTTCCCCAATTTTTAATTAAAATGTTTTTGGGTTAATTATATTTTAGTCACTACACACTTTAGGGTATTTATAAGATTAGTCCATAAGCTTCAGCTATAAATACCCTAGCCCATTTAGCTTCAAAATCATCACAAATCATTTTTCTTTCTCTCAATACTAGAGAGCTTTCTTATAAGTAGTGAGTGTTTTATAAACACCTGTAAATTTTCTCTCTTAATAAAAGATCTGCAGCAGTCTGGAGACGTAAGCACAATTGGCTGAACTCTGTTATCAATTTTTTGGGTATTATTTTTCCGCTTTTATTTCGCATTCTCACTAATCTGGTTATAGAGAAATTACTCGTTTATTTGTCAACAATGAGTACTTCTAGTCGCTTTTGATTTATGACTGCTTTTTTTTTCCTCTTGTGTTCATGTCTATCAAGGATGAATACTTTTGCAGGAGTTCCTTTTTTATAAAGAAAAAAATAACCATCGGATGTCATAACGTGAAGCATTGGATCCCACAAAATGAACTCCAAAATGCAAGAGGCTGTTTTGTTATTACTTGAATGGACCAGTATCAGGTTGGGAGACCTCCTGAGAAACTCCATCAAGTGAGCCTCGGTCACGCCGTGTGGTGTACTGTGAGGTTTGAAGACGTGCTGCATGTATACATCTATGATGTATGCTTTGTGCTATTTGTTCTAATACCTTTCTCTTTTATAAATTTTAGAAGATGCCATTTGTTTGTTCAGTTGAGGATCGCCATGCTAGCTACAGGAGGAAATACCACTTGAATCGTCACGTTCTTCAGCACCAAGGGAAACTTTATAAGTGTCCGATTGAGAACTGCAATAAAGATTTTGCATTCCAAGGCAATATGACAAGGCATCTAAAAGAATTTCATGATGAAGAGTTATTATCCTCTGAAGCTGGAAGTGAGAAGCAATATGTCTGTCAAGAAGCAGGATGTGGAAAGGTGTTCAAATTTGCATCAAGTTGAAAAAGCATGATGATTCATATGGCAAGTTGCTTTTCTTTTTTCAGTGTTCAAAATCATATCAAAGCATCTGATTTGATAAGTCTACATGTTATCTGATTAATAACATAACTGTCACAGTTAAATTGGACTCGGTGGAAGCCGTCTGTTCTGACCCAGGTTGCATGAAGTATTTCGCTAATGAGCAATGCCTTAGGGATCATGTCCAATCATGCCATGCATATATTAACTGCCAGATTTGTGGAGCAAAGCATCTGAAGAAGAACATCAACAGGCACCTCCGAACACATGAATCAGAAGGGGTTGCGTCAGAGAGAATTAAGTGATTTTGAGGGTTGTCTTCACACATTTTCAACTGTAAGATGCTGTGAACCTTAAAATGCATTAGAAGTTGAATGTTATTGTTAAAGACTAAGCAAGTGTTCTCTGCTAAATTTTTTTACTGATCATAAACATTTTTATTTTTCACCGATGTGTTGAAATATTCTTTTACAGAAATCAAATATCCGCCAGCATGTCAAGGCCGTGCACGAAGAGCTCAAGCCTTATGCATGTAGCTTTGGTTGTGGCATGAAATTTTCGTACAAGCATGTTAGAGATAAACATGAGAAATCAGGGTGCCACGTGTATACTCCGGTAAGCTACTTGTTATTCAATGACTCAATGCTCTTGTGAGCTTCTGTCTTGTGGTATTGGTCTTTTTCATTTTTGGCAAAGTTCATAGTTTTTCTATAACTACTTGTGCAGGGAGATTTCTTGGAGTTAGACCAGCAATTTAGATCAAGGCCGAGAGGTGGGCGAAAGAGAACGTGCCCCACAGTGGAAATGCTTATTCGGAAAAGAGTAATTCCGCCGCAAATGGATATGATGGATCTCGGGCAAACTCCTGGTTGTTCGTAACGGATTTATTGACAAACCTTTGAGTGGTTAAGTACCATAGTTCAACAACGTGCTGTGGAAGCTGTAGCAGTATTCATTTTTTCCAGGGTCTTCTCTCTCTTCCTATACTTAAGTAGGTGTATGTATCTTTTTTTTTAGCAAAGAGTATATATTCAATTTTTGTTCGTACGGTTTTATGGACTAACCTTTGATTAGTAAGTACACAATGAATATATTATTAACTTTTGTTTAAGTATTTAGTTTGTTACAACTTTGTTACCATGTTTTTACCTTTTTATGTATATGCACAATATATACACAAAAATGTTACAAGTGTTGTAACAAATATCTTCACTAACATCTTAAATATTTATTTAACATTATAGTATCAAATTTTTTAAGAAGATGCACAGTAATAATATAGGTAGGGGTAGTTTTTGTAGATTGTGATGAGATACAATATGTTTCATTAAAAACCAAGTCTCTACCTTTCTCCTCTATTCTCGGGTGTGAGCCCTCCTTGCCCATAAATAGGACAACTTTTCAGCCCGAATTCTTGGCAATCAGAGCATCTGAAACAAATCCAATTTTTTTTATTTAAATAATTAAGATATAATTATATATCTCCCATAAAAAAAATATTCAAAATCATAAATAATATAAGTAAACAGCTTACTTCCATCTCTCGAAGATGTTGCCATTCTTTTTGTTTTTCCCTGTAAACTCAATCATGCATGGTATAAATTAACTAAGCATCATTTATTCAGTCTTTGCAAAAGGAAAACCCAAATGCAGCAAGATTAAGCATGCTAGTGTAAGGAAATGCACAAGGTACGTGGAGGTCAAGAACGTACAACACCACCTTACATCCAGGATACTCTATGGCCCCTTTGCCTCCACCTTTCTGACATCTGTTCAATATCTGCATGCAAATGTAATATAATCTTATGTTCTGTAAATAAGCTTATAAAGAATGATGCAGGAAGAAGAAGAGAGTTTAATTACCGAGTTTAAGGGACCTGATTTTGCAGCGAAGACTGAAAACTCTGGGTCTAATTTGATGCTTATTTGCAGTAGTTAGCATCCCAGGACTGTACTGAGGAACAAGTGGTAAAGCTGAGATATTTGCTATTTTCAGACTGGAAAGAAATGAAATTATGGTGAAACCTATCCTCACCCTATATGCCTTGTGTACAAACAAATAAATGAACACCACAAGACTTTCTTTTTGATTGAGGCTGAGGGAGATATGGATAAAGGATTACTTTTTTCCTGGAAATTTTTTTTGGGTGGACGACCATAATACTTGGGCTGATTTGAGCTACAAGAATAGGTGAAAAAAGACAAGATTACTAGGGCTTGTTTAGTTTTGAAAACGATTTTCAATCTCCATGCCAGCTGTTTGAATTTCTTGATTTTTGTTTGGTGGGGTCATCCCCCTTACGTACTAGGTTTTCTTTGGTCTTATATTAAGGTTGGGGTCATCCCACGGCATTTTCTTTTGTGAGATATTGATGATAAATCATCCAATGCAAGGAATAAAAATTGTGTTGTACAAACTGATTAATGGTTAATAAATTGACCCATTGGAGGCAAAAATATTTGTAAGAGAACTATAACTTCTGTGGTATAGAGCTAAACGAATTATTAGCCCTTATTTAGCTCTCCTGATAAGATTTTGCAGTATTTAGCTGTTTTTGACTATGATAAATCTGTGTTAGAAATGATATATTTGTCGATTTGATCTTTATGTATGAACCCAAAAAGTTTAGATATGAAGACATCACTTCATAATTCAAAACCTTGGCTGTTGAATTATGCTTGGCTGATGTAAATACTGTTAATTTGTTTGTTCCTACCTATAGTAAGCTAAGTTCTTATGTATTATCTTTCTAAAACTAACTGCTGCTGCAAGGATGAAAAATGTGTTTGGAAAATAGAATGTTACAAAACGAGACGTTAGCATTGACTTGAAAATGTAGATGCTTGATTTGTCCGGGCACATATCACTTACAAATGAAAACAGTTATGGGTTAAAAACAAAAAAAAACTTGGAGGCCATTATTTATTTATTTTTCTCTCTTCAGGGGTGATAAAAACTGAAGGGAGCAGTTTTTTTTTACGTGGGGGGAAAATAAATTGTAAAGGGTTCAGTTTTTAGGAATTAACCACAAGAGATTAAAGAGGAGATTACACAGAGAACAAGGGGGAAAAACAGTGTTCTTCGGGAGATTTGAAATACAAAAAAGCAGAGGCCTTCTATTTTCGTTTTTACACAGAGAACAATACAAAACTTTTCTCCTCATTTTCCTTTATTTTTCAAAAATCAAGCATCAAGCATTTTTAATTCAAAAATGATCAAGCAGTAACCAATCAAATAGATTATAAGCAAAAACAACACAAACACAGAGAACATTGACCAGAAATAATCCAGAAAAAAGTAAAGTATTTAAGAGTATGTGTGGAGCATGTGTATGAGATTCTTGTCGAAACAAATGAAAAAGATCAGAGAATCAAAGAAATCAAATAAAATTTCTTACATTTTCATCGGATAAGCGCTACCATCTTCCAATGAAGCCATCATTTCCTCGCGTCATCGTAGGTAACTCCGTTTTCTTGTTGAATTAATACACATGAAGTAATACATAGTTTTTTTTATTCCAACAAGCAATCCCATACGAAAATTAGAAATAAATTAAGGAGATTTCAAGATAAAAAAATAAGCTTTTGATTATTTTACAATAGCCATTGTTGTATTTTGAAGCAAAACATAAAAAGATAGTGAAGAAGAGAGCGGCGGCTGGGTTAGGGAAAAGTAGAAAGGAAATCAAATAAATGCTAGGTTTAGTTTTCACATAAAACAATATATACATTTATATATTTCTGATGAAACTGTAGCGTTTTGGAAAAGTTAGGGCAACCCATGTTTTAGGGGATGGGTTATTTTCGTAGAGACTCCTCCTTTGTTTTTGATGAATGTGTTTTGGTCCCCCTGGGTTATTATTTTTAGTTTCTGATTTTGTCATCTATGTTTCTACGCATTTAATTCTAGTCCCTAAATTTAATTGTTTTGAATTTCCGTTTGTTTATACGTTTAATATATTTCTTTTTGATAATTACACTTTAGTCCAACTTGCAATTATGGGTTTATTCCGATTTTAGTACATGAAATATAATTATTTGTGTTCTATGGCTTGATTTTTGTTTAATTCATGATTTTAGCCTTAAATTTATCTGCTCATTCATTTCAGTCATTATGTTGTTTTTTATACATTTTCATTATAATACGCATGTAAATATATTAGTATACAATGGTAGTGTTCGATTAAATAGGTTTCATTTATGTTTTAATAAATTATAATTATATTTAATTAATTAATTTGTCACATATGTATATATATTAATTAATAGATATAAATTTCATTTCTATTTATTTTGTTTTTTTTAAACAAGTTAATATCATGGAAATTTTTATTATTATTAGAATATATATTTTTCATTGAACCTTACACTTTTTTTAACCTTGTTAATGTTGTTTCTTTACATTTGCTCTGACATGCTTGTATCATTTTATTAATTAGTAATGCAATTTGTATGATACCTTCATGTGCATAACTCGACTTATAAATACATAATTAGATTAAGGGTAATACACTTTTAATTTAAAATTGTTTTAAGTGGATTGTCATAACGTATTTGAGGTCCGCTTTTTAATGATTTTAAAATAAAAGTGTATCCCATTAGTGACGCCTAAAAATTGATCCATCACTTTAAAATTTGGGAATGGAAGAAAAAAAATGTTCGGCTATTTAAATTTATCGAGAAAAGGTTGTTATAGCTTTTAAGATCTGGTCTCGATATTTGTAAATAATCGAACATTTTTTATCTTTCTAAAATGACTTGGTAATTTTAATTTAATTTATTTGGGTGCTTTTGAATATTATTAAATTCACATCTTTGTTTTATGGGATCAAAAATCAAATTAAGTTCGAATTTGTAAAGTTCATTGCAAAGACGCTAATTAATCGACTAGGTACCGATTTAGGGCGTTGTGGGGGTGCTAATCCTTCCTCACTCGTAACCGACTCCCGAACTCGATTTTGGTAACACAGACTTTAACTTGTTGTTTTAATTAAAATTAATTTTTATTTACAATAACAAAAATGGTTTTGGGTGCCCAATCACACCCTAATCAAAGATTGATGGTGACTCTTCGAACCATATTTGTCTATTGTAAACAAAATCCCAAAATTTTTGAAACGAGAGGTTTTTTAAATTGCATTTATTTTTTTAAAAAATCAATTGAAAGAGATAAATTAAAAATTGATGTGGTTTCCAAAATCTCACCTTTTGAGAAAAAAATCGTTTCGATAGCTTGGCGACTCCACTGGGGACTTTTTTTTAGAGAGTCAGGCCGATAGTCGATTAATTAAGTGTATTTGCAATTTAAGGTTATAAATGCGTTCTAATTTGGTTTATGATCCCTTGTTTGGTTTTAAATGAATTTTTGTTTGCATTTTGATGTTTAATTTAATTTACTAATAAATAGTTGTACTGATTTGTTTGCTAATGATTTCAAATTAATTGTGTGAATTTAGGAAATTTTGAGTGTCTTTATTGTGTGTGTTTTTTGCTTTTCATCACACACTACACAGCTGCATTTTCATGACATGAGCTAAAACTCCGCTCCGTCCAAATTAAGTAGGAGTGAGAGACTATGCCCTCGTATGGTTTTCACCTCTGCATGGGATAGTAGATCACTCCTGGAGCTCATGCCTTATGGTCCTCGTGATGGTATTTACCTCCGTAAGGACATAAGGATGTGTGTTCCCTCGAAATTGAACTCGATCCACTAAAGCTTGTGATGGGCCATGATTGAGGGTTCGACAGCCCAAGAGGGCACCGACAAGGACAATTCGAGAACCTATTACTTTAGAACTGAACCCGGCATATAGTGAACATAGAGCCTGAACTTAGATTGAGCCAACCCTGAACCTTAAGAATCCTGTGAGGAGGGTACACAAGGAAAAGCTTTTTTTGAGTAATTTATTTTCGTTTTTCGAATAAATGCATGCGAACTACATATCATGCGGTTAGAATTTCTTTTTGTGAATAACAAAGTATGGGGTAAATATCATGTTGGGTATGATCTACTAAAGCATGATTGGGTAGCCAGCATATGAGGGTAGGTTTTATTTAATGATTATGATACTTATTATTTTGTTGTTGATATTATGTGCACTAACCCATTTTTGTTCTATGTCTATTTTATTTTGATTTGATTGCATTTGCATCTTCATGTCATCACAAGGTGTTAATTCGCAAGTGATTGACTAATAAGAAGGCTGGTCATAATGAGACAAGATATTCTTAACCATGTAGTCAAAATCAGGTTCAAATATGTTCAAATGATTCATGAAGAAGGACATTCGATGAATGAAGAAATCTGAAGCTGATTGAAGACTTCCTTTAAAGGAGTGAAGGCCAAGATATTCTCTTAGAAGATAGATACAGTTATACCAAGGACAAGAAGACCCTTCATAAAGACATGAAGATCACTTCATATTGAAAGTAAAAATAGAGACCACAAGATTCAATTTAAGGACATCTAGTGTCATCAAAGGTGATAAAATACGACAAAAACTTTGGGTGCAATGTTAGATTCCATGAAGAGTACGACTCAAGGAAATGAAGGAATAAAGAATCATATTTATATATTTTGGCCACATGGTGTACTGAATTCTTTTTGTCTAAATGAAGGTTGTTCTATGGTGGTCACTTTTGGAATTAACACCTTGTACATTTGCATCCGTATTTGCATTCTTATTAGCTTCAATTTATTTATTTTGATATTATTGCTTTTTTTCCTTTTGTTATCTTATTTTTACTAACTTGTTTATATGTTGTTGTTTTTTCTTTGTCCGCATTACATGATAATGACATATTCAAAAGGTGTTGATTTGTGAGTGGTCATCATAGTAAAAGGTTTTCATGACAGACAAGGGGTTTCGTGATCAAACAGACTATAACACAGTCAAGAAATGGCATCTTGAGAAAGCTTCGAAAATAGTGGAGAGTTGCGCGCATAAAGATCATATGTCTGACGAAGAGCACAAGGAGATAAGAGAGATAAAAGAGCAAATGTCCAAGATGATGGATAGAATAGATGTTTTGCCCAAATGAAGAGAAACTTCTATAAAAGAAAATAAAGAACTCAATGAAAATAATCTTGAGGTATCAGATACGCAAGGAACTACTTTAGAACCTGTTGATTCTAGTTAGTATGAGAAATCATGCACAATCATTGTTCGTATCAACAAGTTATTTGGAAATGCCAAGGAAATAGTGGCAACTATAGAAGTTCAGAAGGATGAAAAGAAGACATGCAGTCAGAACTCGTTAGTGCTTGATATTCTACTCCCAACAACAGGGGAAATAAAACCGGAAACTCTAGTTCAACCCAAGTTGAGAGGTGGCTCTCGTTGTGATTACATCCCAATATCATATAAGGGACTACTTTAGAACCTGTTGATTCTAGTCAGTATGAGAAATCACGCACAATCATTGTTCGTATCAACAAGTTGTTTGGAAATGCCAAGGAAATAGTGGAAACTATAGAAGTTCAGAAGGATGAAAAGAATACATACAGTCAGAACTCGTTGGTGTTTGATATTCTACTCCCAACAACAAGGGAAATAAAACCGGAAACTCTAGTTCAACCCAAGTTGAGAGGTGGCTCTCGTTGTGATTACATCCCAATATCATATAAGGAGTTGTATGATGAACTGTTAGAAGACCGAGAAGTGGCACCACATTATGTGAAACCTTTGCGACCTCCATATCCAAGTTAGTATGACTGCAACGTTCGTTGTGAATATCATGCTGGAATTCAAGGACATTATATTGAGAATTGTTCTACCTTCAAACATCGAGTCCAACTTCTTCTAGATCATGGAGTATTGGAGTTTGAATTGAAAGGACAACCCAGTTTGAAAACGGATTATCCTGTTGAGTTTGAACCAAAAGTGACCAAAGGTAAGGGTATCAGTGAGGACATCCAGGAAGAAAATTGTTTGTCAAAATACAAAACTCTGATTCGCCATTTAAGGAGTGAAAATGAGAAATTGAGTAGAGAGATGGAAGCCATGCAGGATAGTTTTCAAAGGATCAGTCAAGCTTTTAAATTTACTGGTATGGGAAATGTCCCAGAGGAGTGGATAATAGGGGTCACTAAACTTAAAAATGACGTTGAACAATTGAGAAAGAATTGCAAGGTGCACGAAGGTCGAGCCGAGAAATTTTCTCATGATTTACAAATTACAGAAAAAGACGCAATATAGTTGTTAATAATTTGGGAAGATATCAGGCCGAAAATTAGATGTTGAATATGTCTATTGCCAATATGGAAATCTCATATCAGCGCAACAAGCGAGAGACTGACGCTGAGCTAGAAGCCGTTAGAGCCAAGAATAAGAAGTTGATGAAGATTGTGGATGATTGTAGTGATCTTATACAAGAGCTTCATAACCACAATGACTTTCTTACAAGGAAGATTCAACAGCAGTGTCTATAGCTTTGAGAATCAGCACTCAAGATAGAGAAAAGAGACAAAGTCATGAAAGAAGCTATGACCCAAGCAAGCAATGTGGCTCAGAAATAGGTTGATTTAGCTGGCTTTGTAATAGAATTGAAGCAGATTGACAACTCGACCCCCGAGCATGAGTGGAAATTAAATTGGCTTTTGAAGGAGATAGAAAAGTTCGGAGTGAAAGCTGTCCATTATATGTA